AGTCTCCTGGATTTGTCCCCAAGTGGATGCACACACAGTGTCAGCTTCATCACTGACTGTAAACACGCAGAAGGGCTGGGAACATGCAGCCCCACAGTTCTGAGTAATGGATCAAGGTCAGCATAAGGCGAGCTGGGCAAGCTCCTTGCCAGGGAGCCTCGGAGACGAACTACGGTACTCTCGCCACTCAGAAGATAACTGATGGGACCAACAGTTAGCCATCAAATCCCCGGGGTTTGTTTTCTTTGCTCTTGATGAAGACGGATCTCGGTCTCTGCATCTCATGGGGCTCATAATGGCCACTGCAGAGCTGCCACGGTACACAGGCCACGCTGTCCACACACCTAGGTCATACCTGTGACCTGCTTCTGTCAGAAAGCATCTGGCCCTACAACCGTGACCAGCTGCTATGCTATGCCAACAGGGAAGGCAAGATCTCCCCAGGAGACTCGGTGACTTCTCGGGCAAACCAAACAGCCACCCCGTCTTCTCCTACTTCCCTTCCCCTTCCGTGGCTGCCCGGACGAATGGATGTGCTCGTGCAGATGGACCTTCCACTGCAAAGCTGGCGCTCACACCTGTTACTCCACATAATCTTCACGCAACACTGTCGCCATCTCCATCCCCCAGAGGAGGAAAACCAGGGCTCGGAGACAGCAGGTGACTTGTTCCCAGACCCAAAGCCAAGGCTCTGAAAAGCACCTTCCCTGAAGGGAAGTGAAGGGCCCACGACCAGCACGGGTGTCTTCCCCTCAACTGCTCGTTCCTTCGCTCCCTTCTGACTCCCCTTCTCCTCACCCCAAGCCCTAGGGGTGTCCCTGCAAGCTCCTGCTCAGGGGGCTGAATGCCACGGTCCTGGGAGGGTCCCCCTTCCACTGTGCAACGCCAGCACAGTCTGGATGAGAAAATCACCACCAAGCACTTTCAGAGGCCAAGCAGAGGGTGTGGGGAAGGTGTCCTTCGACCTATGACCTTAGGGACAAGGCCTTCTCCCTTGATGTCATTATTGTTTCTTCGTGGGTCGTCACAGTACTCAGAGTATGTTATGAAATAATAATAATAATAATATAAAAATCTCACTGCCATCGAGTTGGATCTGACCCACAGCAACCCCTCCTTGGGTTTCCGAGGTGGTATCACTACAGAAGTGGATTCCCCAAACTTCCTTCCGAAGAGTGGCTGGTGGGTTTGAACCACTAGCCTGCTGGTTAGCAGTCAGATGCCTTAGAGACTACACTACCAGAGCTCCCAGGTTATGAAATAATAGGCAGGAATATTGTAGGGTTTTCCAGCTATGAACTGGGAGATAAATTACAGACACACAGGATACGAACACGCACAGGGGAGGGAGGCGAGCCTTCTGAGACTCTGCTGTGGGGCTACATGCCTGGGCCCAGGCTCCTGAGTTCAGTCCTCTTAGTGTGGCCCCTCAGAGCTCGCTCACTCTCTCTCGCAGTCATCTGCTATACGCCAAGCACTCTGCCAGGCCCTTGGGAAGCATACGCTAACAAACAATCTCTGATTCAAAGAGCCAACAAGAAGGCATATAGGAAGCAGAGAGGACGTGTGGGGCGTGTCCACTACGGACAAGTGCACAGACTCGGTGACACCCGAATCTCGCGAGGCAGAGGAGCCGGCTGGAGGGAAGCTGAGCCCGGACAGCAGACGGGAGTGACGGCAGCGGAAGGCCAGCAATGCGCCCCCGCCCCGTGTGCAAACACACCTGCTCCCCGAAGTTTCGGCTCTTGATCTGGGGCTCTTTCCACCAGGTGAGCATTCTCCCAGAAGTGTCTCCCCCAGCACTAGCCCCGCAAGGAGCACTGTGCTTCGTAACTCTGTGGTCAGAAGGGAGCGAGGCGCTGCGTGCCACGTGCCCCCTGTGGGCCTAATGACGTACATTAGCTTGTTAAAGGCTCTGAGAAGTCCTGCAGTGTGTCATCCAGAATCCCCCAAACGTATCTGACCACAGAACACAGTGTGTACTTGAGGCTTTCCTTCCACTCTGAGGAACTTGCAGCTGAAGGAAACAGACTTTGGGCGCCATGCCTCACACCAGGCCTCTTCCACTAGGAAGCCTCCCAGGTGGGACAGGCGGGCAGGCGCAGAGCAGGGGACCATTACAGAGACCCACGTGGGAACGAACTCCAAATGGGTAAGGCCGCAGCAGAGGCAAAGGCAGAGGAGCTGCCGGCAGGAAGAGTCAGCAGACCACAGAAAAGGATGCGAAGGCACCAGTCCACGATTCCAGCTGATCCTGAACAATGACCTCAGTGCAGACAAGACGGAAAGACAACAGAGCAACAGCACCCATGTGGGGCACTCACAAGTCTCTGCGGGATCAGGGCATCCACACAAAGTGAGTGAGGAACGGGGTCTCCCACTTGGCTTGTTCACCAACTCTGAGACCGAGGGAAGACTCTCCCTGCAGATCACGGTCACAGTCCACGTGCTCTTGGGGATGGCCCCCTGCCTCCCCTCTTCAAGGTTTAGGGCTCTAATTCCAGCGACAGTGACACAGGGCTCATGGGTTACAAGGCGCCTGCAGAAGCCTGAGCTAGCTTACCCGTACCACAAGAACTGGAAGCCGAGACTATTAAGAACGATGCCCCCAAAATGACAAAGACAGAGGCAGGAACCACATCTCTTAACTCTTCGTGGTCTCTTCCTGCAACGTGGGATCCAATGATTCTCACTTTCTGGGGCAGTCTTAGTCTCAGATACCTAATTATTCCCATCAACCTTCAGAACAGCCTGGAAATTAGGCTTCGAGATCCCAGCCACCTTTTCCTCCCCTTTTGATGGGAAGTCTTGTTGTTGAACATGCTCCACCTCACACGTCACAGAGATTTCCAGAAACCTTTTGAGGACTGTTTGGAAATTTCGTATATGGCCATAGAATATGCCAGGCAGTTATGCCCAGATCAAAGCCTGTGAGTAACTAGAACAAGACCGCCCCTCTGGAGTGAGAGAGAACCTGTTGATGGCAGCTTAGCAGAGACACCTGTCACTAGGAATGCACGTGCGTCAGCTGGTGAACCCACAACTGCGCTAACGGAAGGCTCGCAGCAGACCGTCATCTGTAACAGCAGACAAACACAAGCCCTTCACGGGCCGCTTAGAGATCCCATCCTCCCCTTCACTACGTCTCAGTGTGAACCCTGTAGGAAGTCACTTCTCCCTAAACAAAGGCAACAAGCCCAGAAGGCAGGAAGGGGCATGGAAGGACCAATGGAGACAGGGGACCCAGGCAGGAAGCGGGAAGAGCGCTGTTCCAGTGTGGAGACCGCAGCCCTCGTCACATGACAAAACGTTTACAAAATGTTGGATGGGAAACCAAAACACAGTAAAAAAAAATGTTTTTAAATAAGAAAGTTATTTTCCCTTTAAAAAAAGAAAGTCTTAAGGATTAAAGCAGTAAGTAAGCCATATCTGGAAGGCCACGCTTCTGTGTCCCTCTCCCCCATCACCCTGTCCGGCCCCACGCTTGGCAATAGCCATCAGTAGAGAGCTCTTTGCTCTGCTGCAAGACGTCAGTGCCAGCACAGCAACCGTCCGGAAAGTCTGCCGATCGCAAGGCAATTCCTGACACGTTAACTGTCTGTACGTGCCAGAAAGAACATGGGAGAACAGGGGCCCGCACATATCCCAGATGTTCTCTTCTAGGGCACATGTGGCAATGTCTGGAACGTCTTTGGTTGTCACAACATGGGGGTGACATCTATGGGTGGAGGCTGGGGATGATGCCAAACGTCCCAAAGTACACACAACAGTCCCACAACAAAGAATCACCTGGCCCCAGACGCCAACAGTGCCGAGGCCAGAAACCCTGCCCAGGCTTCAAGCACACGGTGAAGACGCGTGTGGGTGTGTCAATAAACTTGAATGTAACAACTGCAGAAAGCGGCTGGACAACAGGTTCCACGGCTTTTGATACAGTGCGATAACCTGGATACCCCAGGTGACAGTCAGACTGTGATGCCAGTTAAGATGAAATGCCAACAGCTCGCTCTCAGTCTGCTCACGAAGTGGACAAAGGAGAACACAGCGGTTAAAGCCAAAACCACAGCCAGCCATCCTGATCAATTCATCGTTTTGTCCTTTGAGAGCAAAGAGTGAGGTGGACAATTGTCTGTCCCCCTTTTTTAAAAAAATATAAACGGCAAATATTTAACCTGTGAAAATAAGCGGTACTGGTGGGGGAGCTAAGTCAATCGTGTAAAATGAGGAAAGCTCACAAACCAACCAGCTCTCGTGCGCCTGAGGTCGGGTGTGCTAGTTCCTGGTATCTGTTCTCACGTAACGCCGGGCACAGCTGGCTGCCCCCCGGCCACTGCTGGGGGCCCTCTGCGCCAGCAGAGACGTCACGAGGCCCTTGGCAAGCCTGCTGTCCCTCAAGAAGCTCTGTGCTGAGCTTTACGCACCCGACAAAATTTCAAGTAACTGCGAAAAGCCAGATTCCAGGAGACCCAGGCGTCACTGAGAGATGCAGGCTGCGCCACAGGAGACAAACTCGCTCTCCGCGCAGGACGCCAGGGGAGCCGCTCTTCCTACATTCACACTGTTGCTGGTGGCTGCCACGGAGGTGACTCTGACGCACGGAGACCCCTGTCAGAGGAATGCGCTTTGTGGGCTCTGCACCCGGCCTCTGACTGCCAGGCCTTCTTCTCAAGCCCCCCGGATGGGTTCAAACTGGCCGGCATTCCAGCTACCCGGGGACTCCAGGCATCATTAGCTTTCAGAAATCCCCGAAGACTGCCGAAAAATAAACCAACGAGCAGCCCAAGGGGAGAGCTTCACACAGTGGAGAAAGGCAACGGAGGGGAGCAGTGTGTCCCAGAGAAGCAAGCAGATGCCACTAACTTCACACCAAACGCGTCCGAAACCCAACCAGGAGGGCGTGCCGCAGCCCTGAGCGCCGCTCAGCTTACAGAGTCTACCGCAGAATTAATATAAAGTTTTAGAAGCAGGAGGGGGAAAAAAAACAAAACAAAAAAACTAACCTTAAGGTTATCAAAGGTTTTGACAGGCTGTGCAGAGTCACTGACACTCCCTGGCGACCCTGAAGACCCCCGGGAGCCGTCAATGACCTCGAGGCCAGAAAGCAAGGCCTCTGAGCAGCCGCAATGGGACTCCTTCGCTCTCTGACCCGATATCAGGTATGTCTTCAGACCTATGGACAAAAGTCACAGTCAGCACAGATGCAGACCACTGCAGAGTTCAACGCAGCACGATCTTGCTCGCTACAGGGGACGCACTCCTGGAAGCGGAGGGTAACGTGGAAACATAAACGTGTCCTATGTTACGACTGACTGACACCCACGCACATGCTGGCCCTCGTGACACACCACTTGCTTATGCTTTCTTTGAATGATGGCTGCATTGCTGTACCTGAAGGCAGCAACAGCTTTAGGGATGACGCTCTAAGTGTGCTGGTTTGTTTTGATCTGTTCATACCACTCAGTGACATTTAGAACAGCCAGACTGGATGAGGGTGGCCTGGAGTAGCTACTGTCTTACTCATTTTGGGGCCTGCAAAGCTACCGTGAACAGTCAGACCCACAGGGGTGTGTATCAAGTTATCTATTGTCGGGTTTAAACATTTCACTTTGAACAAGCTGTATATGCCTGCACTGATTCTCTCACTAAATCCCCATTTTAAAAAGTTGGCCTGATGAACGATTAGCCTACATCATTGCAATTCTCGTTTCAGGCTCAAGTAACGCACCAGTACAGGCTACCCCGTTAAGCAGCTATGTAACGGGCAGCTCCCTTCTCCGGATATTCCACAGAACCATCTTCCTGGAGAAACAGTAAACTCACTGCTGAGTCGATTCCGACTCCGAGCGCCCCTGTGGGACAGAGTGGGACTGCCCCCTAGGGTTTCCAGGGCTGTCAATCTTCACGGAAGCAGACTGCCTCATTTTTCTCCCACTGAGCTTGCAGTTTGCAGCCGAGTGCTTAACCATTGTGCCATCACTGCATCTTCCAACAAAAATACACATCACAATTTATGGACGGGGTAAATCCCAATCTTCCTTAATTAAATGGGCCAACTTGGAACGGAAATGTGAAGTGGGATACGACGTGCGCAAAGGCCCTCTGAGATAAATCCCTCAGGGTCCGTCCCAGACACGCTCTGTCAGTTCATTACTTCACCTTGGGAGAGTGACAAATCCCGAGTTCTGACCTGTGTGGGGCCTCTGAGCTGGCAGGGCTTATCCTGTCTTCCTCAGGGAAGTCACGGAAGGCCTCCCTGGGATTTAGGAGTTCGTTCCAGGGTCCCCCCTACTTCTGAGGGGGGCAGGGGGTTGGCGTGGAGCCAGGGAGAGCCACGCTGGAGGTCCTGGGGCCTGTGCTGCGGAAGCCACTTGACCCTCGCCTCCCGGCCGAGGACGACGAGTCTCTGACTGAAGGGTGAGGACCCGCCTTGCAGGGAGCAGTGCCTGTCTGCCTCTGGACAGCCCTGACCACAGAGCAACGACGCCTGCCCAAGGCCACTGCCTGGACAAGGGACAGCAAGGACGGCCCTGGAGGAGGGAGCAGGGGGCTGAGGCTCTCACTCCCTCCAGGCCAGGACGAGGTCTTCATCCCAGTAACCGCTCAGCCAGCGCCTGTGCGGCTCCGTGGCACTGGGAGAGGTAAGGAGGCCTCCAGCTTAAGAGCACACCTGGAAGCTGGGCTTTTCAACAAAGCCGAGTCCAGTGCTTCAAGGAAGAGGTCTCCCGAGCCCGCCCAGCGCAACAGGCCACAGAAGCCTGTCTCCACAGTCACCAGCCCGAGGTGTCCTTTGAGCATATGTTCCTGAGCTGCGTTACTGCTGAATTAGTGAATTAATTCCTGGTCATGGGCCGGGCCAGGTGCTGAGAGGAGGAGAGTGCACACAGCAGCCATGAGCCCGCTATAACCTGCAGGGCTCCATACATGCGGGGCCTCGACCACCAACAGGTGACTGTACCCTGGTGTGCTAGGCCCCACGACAAAGAAGTGTGGGGTACACTAGGAGGCACCTCACAAAGCCGGGGGTTAAGGAAGACCTCCTGGGGAAGGGAGATGCGGAGACACCAACCAGGTAAAAGTGAGTGGGGCCAAGGCTGGAGCAGGTGTGACCAGGAAGGGCCATGGAGAGACCCTCTGCAGGGGGGCCCTGGCAGCACAAGTGCGTGACGGAGACGAGTCTGCGGCGGTGGCACAGAGGTGGTGTGCAGGAGCACGGCCCGAGGGGAGCTGCGGCCTGTCACGCAGGCGCCTTGTGAACCTCCTCCTGGGTGGCTGGGTGCCGTCGAGTCAATTCCAAGTGCCAGAGCCTACAGTATAGAGCGGACGGCCCACAGGGTTTCCAGGCTGTAGACTCCATGGACGCACACTGCGAGGCCTTTCTCCGACAGAGCCCCTGGTGGGGTCCAACCCCCTGCCTCCGGGTAGCAGCCGAGCGCTCCAGCACCGCGCCACGAGGTTCCATGTCACGTGTCAGTGAGGTTCGTCTTCTCATCCCGGGCAGCCATGGAAAAGTTCCTCCTCCAGACAGGCGCACCTCAGGAAGTGTCTCCACCTCGCTTTAGAAAATTAAGCTGAGAGAAGACGTCGGTGTCGGTCAGGTCACTTGTCAGTCAAATGATGGGCTCCAACAGGACATCATGACTGATGCGCTCACTCTTGTCCCCCCACCCCACCAGCACAAGGTGGCAACAGCAGATGCTTAATAAATGTCTGATAAACAAACAGCAATCAGCGATTCAAAAGCAGCTGTTGCTGTGGAAGGGGAGCTCCTCGGCTACCAAGTGGGACACGGTGTGGAGGGCAGGGCTTGTGGGTGGTGAGGGGCTTGGACAAGCAGAAGGCGGTGCAGGCCTGGGCAGTGTTCTGTCCCGTTGTGCATGTGGGCACAAGTTGGGGGTCAACTGGACAGCAGCTAACAACAGTCCCCCTAAAACATGGTGGGAGACAGTGATCAGGAATGCTTCTGTTACAGGCAGTCAAGTGGGCAGCACAGGAGACAGAGCCCTAAGGAGCAGACTCAACACACAGACACTCACTCTCTCTGTGCCTCGGTTTCCTCACCTGTTTGGTGAGGACAGGAATGGTACTTACTTCATGGGTTATTGGGAGGATGACAGAGCTAACCTGCTCAAGGCCTGGCACCCGGGAACACTCAATGTCACTGGTTATTACGATCGGCCTGGGCTTCACCTGCTTACCCCTGGGCATCTCCTTCTTAGTCCCTCCCTGCACAAGCTTCTCCGTGGAGCAAAAATCAATGAGAACACAGGGTTCAAGTAATCAGAAGAGCATCTGAAACAAGACAGCCGACAGAAAAGTCTCAAGAACTGAAACTGAGTAACAGAGAACAAGCTGCCATTCGCCAAATGGTGATCAGAATGCCACCACGTACAAAGCAAGGGGTCAGTCACACCTGAGGCAGGAACAGGTGCCACAGACCACGTTCTTTTCCCCAGACAACTAAGAAATGAGTAGCTGATGGGAAGTTTCGGAGAGATGCAGATTCCAGGCGAGAACATGACAATGGGAAGTAGATGCTAGACAGAAGAGAAAAGAGAGTAAATTTCAAATCTGAGGCCGAGCCCAACTAAAATCTGAGGCTGAGACCAACTAAATGACTGAAACTCAAAGCTAAAGCAAGGAGACATCTTGAAAACAGAAATGAAGCTGTATGATGTCAGAGCCAAAGGAGCAGTCACGAGAAGCCACATGGCACATGATGCCACCTACATGAAACGTTCCCAGCAGGTGAGTCCAGGGAGAGAGGAAGTATGATTAGTGGTTGCCAAGAGGCTGTGGGGGGGTGAGGTGGGGAGTGCCTGTTAATGGGTGCGGGCTTTCTTTCTGGGATGATGAAAATGCTTTAAAATAAGATTATGACGATGGTTACACAACTCTTGTGATGACATTAAAAACCATGGAAGTATACATATAAAAACAGGTGAAGTCTATGGCACGTGAGTTAAAGCTCAATACAGGTATTATTTAAAAAAAAAAAAAAAAGAAAAGAGAGAGAGAGAGATGAAGAAATAAAGGTACATGAACGTCAATAAGAACTTCAACTGTGAGAGATTCAGAGACAAACTGAAATAAAGCCAGTGACAGGCGCACTATCCTTGGGAGCTCAAGGTAAAGGAGAGGGCAGTGGCAGGTCCAACAGAAACAGAAAAATGAAGGCTTAGAATCAGAGGATATGGAAGAGGGAGGGTGGAAAGACATAGAAACAAGAAATGAGAGGCTAAATAACCTGGAAAAACTGAACATTCAAACACGGCCAGAGTTCAGAAGTCTGGCAGAGATTAAACAAACAGAAAGTTTGACCTTCACAAGATAACTTCACGAACCCTCACGTCTCCAACGGTCTCTTGCAACTTCATCCAAAAAAAGGTGCGCCAACACCTGGCTTGGGCACTCAACTGCCAATACAGTGAGAGGCTTGGCCTCAGCCCTGCATGGCACGGTTCCCACCCACAAAGCAAGCCGGCCTAACGGTAACCCCTGCAGCTTTGCCACAACTAACGGTCGGGGAACTCTGGTGGCATAGTGCCTAAAGCACCTGACTGCTAACAAGGAGGTTGGCAGTTCAAATCCACTAGCCACTCCTTGGAAGGAAGGTTGGGCAATCTACTTCCGTACTGATACCACCTTGGAAACCCAAGGAAGGGTCGCTATGAGTCAGAGATGACTCAGTGGCACATAACAACAGTCAGGCATTCCTGAATGGATTTTGATCTGTGGCCACATTTAACTGCAAAGGCATCTTCCTCCGACATGGCCCGTTTTACCTGCACTGACCCTCTAAGAAGCATCTGCAGCTGAGAGGGAAGGCTTTTGTAGCAACGCACAGAATGGGGCCACCTCCCCGTAAACTTCGCACCATGCAGAGATGTGATTACTCAAATTCTCAGCTAACCTACCCGGAGCGGCCACACCGGCGCCCTCACCACCCGCAGTGGCCATCAGCTGCCTTCCAGTTGCTCCGGACTCACACCGGCCTCAGGCTCAGTCCTGCACCATCTCCATGACCCCATGATCAGTGGCAGATCGGGCCTTTATGATTCGTGGGACTTTCACTGGCTAATCACCAGGCCTCTTGTCCTAGTCTGTCTAAGTCTGGAAGCTCCACTGAATCCTGTTTGGCAGCAGAGCGACATGCAAGCCTCCAGCCACAGT